GCTGGAACACAGGGATATATGGGACGTATGGGACACTGGGGCATATGGGATCCTGGTGCATGCAAGGACCTTAACCACTAGGTTACTGAGCCAAGCCTAGCTGCTTTATACACACACACACACACACACACACACACACACACACACACACGTAATAGGGAGGCAGCTGGTGGTGAAATAAGACAGTTCTTAGGCTGAGGATATAGAATTTGTCAAAGCAGACTCTGATATGATTACCACATACAGAAAGGGAGTGGGAAAAAGAATTAGGCTAAAAAAGTACATTTGACATTTTCATGGTGCAACTAATTATTCTCTGATTTGAATCTTGAACATTTTCAGTTTCTGTAAATAAGTTTCAGGAAAATTTGTTTTTTGTGTGGGGAATTGCCTGTTTAATTAGATTTGTATAACTACCCTTCTTTTCTTTAAGAAAAAGATTTATTACTTTGAAAAATAGTGTTGCAGAGACAGAGGGAGAGAGGGATTGGTGGAGGGAGGAAAAGAGGGAGAGAGACACACAGAGAGAGATTTTCTATTTGCTAGTTCCCCGCACCCCCCCCAGGAGGTCTTACTGGCCAATTCCGGGCCAGACTGAAGTTAGGAGTTTCATCTGTCTCCCATGTGGGTGGAGGGGCCCAACGACTTGGGCTGTCTTCCACTGCATTTCTCAGGTCATTATAGGCAGCTGGGTGGGAAGTGGAACAGCTGCTGGCATTGCAGGTGACAATTTCGCTTGCTATGCCACAGTGCTAACTCCTGATGCATACCTTACTAGATAGAGCAGGTGAGATATTCACTTGTTAAGATGGCAAAGTTATATAGACTGTAACATAATGCACCTAGGATTTTGGAAGCTTGTGTTCTACAAGTTGCTTATCAGTTTTCCTTTCTGCTGCTTTTCAAATTGATTTTTGAACTTTCCTGTACTTTGTTGGCCAAGTTTCTGGACAACTAGCATGTAGCTCAGTTAATGAATCTAAATTATGATATATAAAGGCACTTGGTTCTAATAAGAAAAGTTTATTTTGAATTGTTTATATTAAGGGGGAAATAACTGAATTCACATGAATACATATCATTGCAGTAGCTTCTGGAAAATATTTGGCCATAGCATGGGTTTCTTGATTTCTTTGAGCTACTTATGATGTGATACTTTTAATGCATATTTCATATGCACTCTCCATTTTCAAATAGAAAACTTCGCAGCATTATTATTTAAAGTTTTGTTGTCTTCCAGAGAAACACCTTAGAGGGTAAATAATTTATTTTAGAAAATTATAGTTGGTTCAACGTAAAGGGGCTTGAATGAATTACTATCAGGTTATAAGAGAGCAGGATGCGCTTTACAAGTCAAAAAAGTTTTCTGCCAAGTACTAGAAGCAAAGAAAATTGTCGGAGAAACAACTAATTAATCTCTGGTTCTTTACAGCTGTTTAATGCAATGCATAACTGAAAGTTCTGTTAAATTAATTAATGATTTCAATTATTAACTTTTCTCCAAAATCATTTGTATCAGGCTGATAATGCAGTGACCTCGGAGTGTGAAATCTGTGTCATGAAGAGAGTCACCAGTTAATTGATTCACAAATTATTTAAAGTTTGTTGCACCCAAGGGAGTGCCCAGGTTCGTGACAGTCATTTTTTAAAGTGTACAAACTCCCTTTTCACCTTAAAAAATGTCTTCAGTAGTAAACATGATAAAATATAAGCATGATTTTAGATCTGTGAATAATCTTAACATTTATGATTTAGAATTTGTAGGTGGATATGTAATATGTAGAGACAAAAAGGAAAAATTCTTATTTTAATAATTTTAGATAGTTTTTAAAGATACCACCCATTTAGAAATCTTGTTTTTCTTATTCACTGAATATGTCTCATGGTGAAGATATTGTGTGTTCTTAAATTCTGAATGGCAACTAACACGGTATGAACTGTTTTGATAGCTTTTGAAGCATTAGGGTTATTGGTAGAACTAAAATGCCAACCTTAGTCACTGAAGAGAGAGTAGCATGTAAATCCAGAAATGTCAGTTTTTTCTGTGATACTTTTAGTCTTTTTTTTTCTTTGCTAGAGTATATGCATAAAAAACTGTCCTATCTGCTTGCTTTGATGCAGTTATTTTATCCATAACTAAACAAATAAAAGTATACAAATGCACAAAGAGATGGAAAGGAATCAATATTATTAATATTTTATAATACATTTATTAAAATTTTATTAATGTTTTTGTGTTGAACTTAGATTGATTTCCAAATACATGATATAAACGTAAGTGCACATTCTTTCTTGAGTGCTCATGCCTAACTGAGGTGGAAGAGAAAGAGGCAGAAAATTTGCTTTCAGAGAAATTCTTCAGAAGGAAGAGCGTGCTGCGGAACATTCTGTGGACACAAGTGGTGGTTATATTCTTCATAGGCTCTAGAACTATTCCTGCTGCATGTATCCATTTGTGCTTAACGAGTAGTTTTAAAGGTTCAGTGCCCTTAGTATGGCTTAAAAATATCTATCTTTAGCAGTTTCACGCTAATTTGATAGGCAGTATAAGAAAACGTTTTTCATTTAATGTGAAAAACTTTTCATTGAAGAGATTTGTCATCTCTGGATGGATTGGTGTATTTACAGGATGGAGCAGGAAGCTTGTATTCTGGATGGACACTATGTTTGCAAATTTCGCATTATCTGGTGACTTTTTTTTTTTCTGTTTCACTTCTCTCTCTGATCCTAGAAAATTGCCCAAAGAGAAGGCAAGTAAAGAAACGAATGTTTATTAAAAAATAAATTTATCTTTGTTAAACTTGCTGCAGGGCAAAAAGAAATAGACTTGAAAGGGAAGTAAATTTATACTAATTTTTGCATTGTATGAAATGTACTATTTTGGACACTGACTGACTGCTTCTGTTTTCTAAAATTAAGGAGCCTATAATCTCAGCACCATTAACAAGTGCTGTCATTCAGATACACAGTGTCTGGCTGATTTAAATAAAATGAAATGAAGATAGTTGTTTCTGGTCCCTTGGCTTCACTCATTGCCATAAACATATGCTCTGCGTCCTGCTTCTTTCCATCTTATTTATGACTTTAATTTGTTGTGTGGGCTGCGCTAGAAATTAAATTTAATATAATTCTCCAAGGAACCCTGTCATATAATAACATGGTAATTTCTGTGTATCCTTTTGAAAAATGAGGAAATTAATTCTTCCTGACATGTTCTAATTATTCCAGTGTGAATGGCAAATCCGTTTTTCCTTACCCCTGAAGTGTTATAGGCAAATGGCTGGTGTTCAAAGCTGAGGTGCTAATGCTGACCAGCAGTGCGTTTAATTTGAAACATGAGCAGACACCTTTCAACACACCTTTATAATATTGGAGTACTTTACAGAAATTAATTCACTACTTATTTGGCAGCTTAGCCTTGGGGTTATGTTTTTTTATTCATCAATACTATAGTCATGTTAGCATAATATTTCCGGTTTCTGTCATTGCATGGTGTCTAGGTGTGGAACTTAAATTGTGTAATGGATGGTTCAACTGTATTAATAAAGGAGAATCAAGGAATTTCAGAAACACCAGTTGTATGCCAAATTGTATTTACACTTTATAGAGAGGTATAGTAAGGTCTTCAGAGTGAAGCATAATTATAGCCTATAGTTAACAGCTTTAACTGAAGCTACATACTGTAGGAATTATTGGGGCCTGTCTTGCCATGAAAAGACAACTGTGTACTCTGCTTCCTCATGTAAATTTCTGCTTTTGAAATCCATCTTATTATGCAAGGAATGAACACTGTGAAAAGTAAATTTGTGAATACATTTATGGGAACAGGAATCTCAAGGTTTGACCTCCAGATGAAAATAGTTATGGTAGATTAAGGAGTAAAGTCATTTGTGATGTGTTGTGATTTACTATTCATCAAGATTGACTTAGAGCTACAAGTGGCATTCTTAGAAAATTGCAATTAAGAATTTACTTTATCCATAATCTCTATTGTGACTAGTTGTTACATACGTTTTTCTAATCTGGCCAGTCATTTGTGTCAGACCTGATGCAACTCAGTTGTTTCAGTGAGCAGTTGATAAATATTATTATGCATTAGCTAATTATTGAAATTGAATGTGTAAGATCTCCTTAACATAGGGAATAGAAACACAATTAAACTTAAAAAAAAATAAGGTTGTGTTTGGAGTTGCTGTAATCAAGGCTTTATTCATCTGGTTTTGTAACTCTATATTACATTTCCTTTACTTTTCTTCTTAAATAGAAAAAAATGGAAATGGTAACATAATTATTCTGATAAATGGCATTAATATTGGCTATGTATTCTCTGCTGATCATTCTGCTGATAGATATTTATTCTGTTATTCTTTTGTCAGATTGACAGACAACCTACTGAGGAGTACTATCAAGTTTAGATTTTCAAAAGAGGGAAAACGTGCTTAGGAGTTCTCTGTCTTAGCCTTCCCTTGTGGTAGACTGATGGAAATTGGAGAAAACATAACAGCATGCTCCCTCCCCTTTAAGCATATGTCTTTCTTTACTGTCCTGTTCTGGAAAGTTATTTTAAGGACATTTATGTGGTGTAGTAAGGGGGAGGCAATGGAAGAGGGTATTGGAAGGTCAAGAGGGGAGAGGATACAAGTGCATTTCTTCCTGTACCCACAGTCTATAGAAGTTGCTCAAGACTTCTAGCCATGGAATTCTCCATTGTGCCCTGGAGAAGAAAGGAAATCTGTTGCCCCCTTTGGCCCTTCTTTTTCTTCTTTGTTTTTTTTTTTTTTTTCACTGAAATTATGGAAGAAGCAACATTAAAGAACAAAGACATCAGATAGATCAGATCCTCTTCTGTGTCTCACCTGGATTATAGAAAAGAATTAAGATTTTTCTATATTACTGGTATTTTTTCAAGGTAAAAAAACTACAGAAAAGTTATTGACCAGGTTAAAATAAGCTGCTCATATGTGCGATTATGCATATACCTAGTTCCATTTTCTTTCTAGGAAAGAAACTGCAAACATTTTTCTATGCTTCCATCTCAGGATGCTGCAATCAGTGTGTCCAGCAAAATAGATGAAAAGAGGTAAATATCCTCCAATTTTGAAATTCCTTCTCTGTAAATGTTATTTAGGCTCAGTCTTGGGTCATTTTCAGTTTTATAAATCTTATTTTAAGTTAAGAAATGTTTATAAAATATGTTAAATTTATTTCTATATGTTCTTTACTTGGTTCAAATCAACTTTCCATAGCTGCTGATTTTGTTTGGAGATAGAAACAGCTTATTTGTTTGTATTCCTTTTGAAAGTAAAGGAATATGTGTATATGTACACACACGCACGTGCACTTCCATAAGGCCTCTATTTATCTCTCCTCATGAAACAAAACAGTGTTGTTGTTTCATACATTAAATGCACTCATCATTTTACACGTTTACATTTTTACAGAAAAACAATTAATATTCTTGAGTACATGCTATATGCCAGGCACTGTACTAATCACGTCATATCAATTGTCTCTTATGAGAAAAAAGAGTCCCTTTTTGAGGTAGTTATCACTATGTATAATGAAATATACAGCTACCATTCCAGATGGGGAAACTGAGCAAAAACAAGCTGAATAATTTCCCCAGCATCTCATAGTTTACATGTGGAAGTATGAATATTTTATCATAGAAAGTGCTTAAAACATGCCTGGTACATACTAAAACCTTATTGACTGTTTTTAACTATTTGTGTGGTAACGTACTTGTGGATACTGACTCTCAACCAATATTTTTGAATCTTTTTATTATTTTAAAGGAGATTAGGAGGTCTTACTCAAAAGGAGTTGATGGAAAAACTGTAGTATTTGGTCTTTAAATCAAGCTTGTAACACAATTAACATAAATATATTTACTTATTGGATTTCTTGCACTATAGAAGTTCTGTGCATGTACTTCAAGATACATGAAATGTTTGGTATAAAGGAACATACAGTCTAGTGGGGGTGGAGATTGGAGTTTTATGTAATGATTAATACTGGATAGAAAAATTGTATTATATATTTAAAAATAGATATGGAGAGCACTTCAAAGGCCCTTTAAGTGAGCCCACAATTGTTTTTTTTTTCAAAAATTTAAAAATCATTTTCCATGATATGTTTTTGTAGTTGTATATTTTCTCCCCTTTCCATGCTCTCTCCTTCTCCATTTTCTTCTCCCACCATTTCCCCTCATATTGTTACAGCAGCATAGCCCTTTAGTAGTAGCAGTTACAAGTTAGCATTCTGCTACTTCAGTACATCATGACATTGTAGGTATAGACAAAAGTAGAAAATCTAGTATTGTGTTGTCAAGGTATATTTAACTTTTGTTGGGAGTTCTCCTTTTTTATAGGAGTAGAGAAGCAGACTGTTCTCAGTATGCTAGTCTCCATTATATATTTCATCTAGGAGAATACATAGTATATACTTGTTCATTAATGTATCTATGGCTTCACAACTAACAGACTGTATTATTACATAGTTCATATCCCTAAAGGGAAGTCTGCATATAGTTTTCATTGAATTTGCAAAATATATAAAAGCAAGTAGTTAAAAGCAAAAATGTTCTAAGGCTTATTTTTTAGTTCTTAAAATCATAACCATCTTCTGAAGAAATTAAATGTTATTACATTTGAAATCATGTGATGTAACAGAAATAAATTACACAGGCAAATTGTTTATAACCTGCACAAATTGCTAGTATTCCTGTATCTTCATTTTTAATCATTAGTTATTTTCTTTGCTATTGCAATAGAGCATTGGGTAATAATTGCTATTTCATTGGCAGTGCAGATGAGCTCTGAATAACATAACAATTCAACTGTAGATTATTAGATTATGAGACTGCATAGAGATATACAGTTACGGCATCTGGTTAAAAAAGTAAGTTAGATAGTTACTGTCCAATAAAATATCTAATGTAAATTTCAGTACTCAAAGTAACCAACTAGGATATAATTAAACCTTTAAATATTCGTGACATCAGTTTTCTGTGACTTTTATTACTAATTAGATAATATTTTCTCAATTTGATATTTTAATCTTTAATTTGTAATATATATATATTGCAGTTTTCTAATTTCACCATCACAAAACACTTGTTGAACACTTGCTTATAAATCAGGTATTCTGCCAGTGGCTGGGGGTACAAGTCTAAGAATTCTTGAATCAAAGAGTTTATAGGTAGATGGAGAGTTGGGCACAGACCACAATACTGTAAAAAAGGTCTATATGAAGTGAGATGATAGTGAAGAAGTGGAAATTAATTAAGGAGAGAGTAAAGGAAATTTACAACAAAGCAGTTATTTTTCTTTTCAGAAGAGTAGGACCACAAAGAAAGTAAATTCCATAATGGTCCCACCTTTCTAATCAAATAATTCATTTTACTTTTTAAACTAGTTTTTAGCTGATTCAGTATAGTTTATACACACAAATCTAAGAAGATAGTGATATTCATTCCCTCTCTCTCTTCCACCTTCTTATCTTCTCCCCCCTTTTTTTCATTTTTGAGACAATATTTTTAATGGACATTACTGTAAAAAGGCTTAATACTTTACCAGATAAGTGGTTTAAAAAGTAAAAAGCAAGAAGATCCTAATTTGGAGGGATTATAGACAACAATTTTAAATAATAATTGAATGGAAAAATGGCCATTTCACCCATATATTCAGCCATATACAGTAAATTTTAAAGTAATAGCAGATCCTAAAAATGATAGCACTATTATGTTGTAAACCACTTATTTCACAAAGATATAAAGGTTTCACAAAACTGTATTGACAGCCATACTGATGCATACAGTTGTATCTTTTTTTCATTTTGAATTTGTTTCAAAAATTTAATTTCCATATACAAGAGACAATATGTGATATTTCTCTTTCTGTGTCTGGAATAGTTTAGTCTTCACTCAATATGATGTAGTTCATTTGTGTCCATTTTATTGCAATAAAAGAATTTCATGCTTTTTCATGGATGAATAATATTCCATCGTGTACATTTACCACGTTTCTTTATCCATTCAGCTGATGATGGACACCTTGGCTCATTCAAAATTTTGCCTATTATGAACCATGCTGCAGTAAACATGGTGGTGCAGGTATCTCTTCAATTCACTGTTCCCAAGCCTTTTGAGTATATATCCAGTGGTGGGATTGCAGGATCATATTACAAGTCTATTTCTACTTTCAGAAGAAATCTCCACATTGTTTTTTAAATTTGCATCCCAGCCAGTTTTTCCTACGCGGTTTGGTCATTGTATGGTCTTGGCACTTTTCTATAATTCAGTTGTCTATGTGTACTTAGGTTAATTTTGGGGCTCCTTATTCTGTTCTGTTGAGCTATGTATTTGTTTTCTGCCAGTATCATGATGTTTTAATTAGTATAGTTTTGCAGTATACTTTGAAGTCAGATATCATGATGACTCCTGCTTGGTTTTTCTTGTTCAGGAGCCTGTTGACTATTCTGGGTCTTCTGTGATTCTGTATGAATTTTAGGAATGACTGCATCTTTGTCTTGCTCACTATTCTGTGCTTTTTGTTCTTGAATAATGGAAAGCACAAAGCAAGCACTTTGATAACTATACTGTGTAGTCATTTTTGGTTGTGGGAGGAGGGTGAAAAACCCTGTTTTCAGGAACAAGGAATATATGGACACAAGTGTGAAAATATTGCACATCATGGCCTATCTGGAGACATGATTTCATTTATAATGGAAAGAGGGAGTTGAAGATGTATTAATCTAATTATGTGTGCCAAACACAATGACTCAAATGGCTAATCTTTCCCATCCAACCATTGGGATCCCATATCGGTGCTGGTTTGTGTCCTCATTGCTCCACTTCTCATCCAGTTCCCTGCTTGTGTCCTGAAATAGCAGTGGAGGATGCCCCAAAGCCTTGGGACCCTGTATGCACGTGGGAGCCCTAGAGGAAGGTCCTGCCTCCTGGCTTTAGCTTGGCTCAGCTCTGACTATTGTGGCCACTTGGGCAGTGATCCAGCAGGTGGAACATCTTTCTGTCTTTCCTTCTCTGTAAATTTGCTCTTTGAATAATAATAAGTAAAATCTTTTAAAAAACAATTGAAAAGCATGTATTTTGTAGTCAGACAAAAGTTTAAATTTTGACTCTATTTCCCCTTATGATTGTAAGTAGAATTTTGAACCCATTTTACTACTTTAAAATATAACTAATAATATTTATTTACAATTATGTTATTTTTATTGCAAAGTCAGATATACTGAGAGGAGGAGAGACAGAGAGGAAGATCTTCCATAGTTTGATTCACTCCCTAAGCAGCCACAATGGCTGAAGCTGAGCTGATACAAAGCCAGAAGCCTGGAGCCTCTTCCAGGTCTCCCACATGGGTGCAGGGTCCCAAGGTTTTGGGGCATCCTCGACTGCCTTCCCAGGCCACAGGCAGGGAGCTGGATGGGAACCAGGGCTGCTGGGATTAAAACTGGTGCCCATATGGGATCCCGGCACATTCAAGGTGAGGACTTTAGCTGCTAGGCTATCGTGCCGGGCCCTGATATATAAATTTTATATGATAGATAAGATACTACACTATATATAAAGGAGCCAAGGAAAGGATCATTCCGTTTATTATAAACAATGCATTATCTTTATCAGAATATTCAATTATTATTACACAAGTCCAAGATTCCTTAATTTGGTTGTATTGCTTACTTATTAGATGCTCACACTAAATAAGAAGTAGATAGTGTGAATTTAACTGTATAATGCCTAATGGCCTTCACCAGTCTCCTGAGGTTAGGTGACTGGTTAAATATCACATAGCAAGAAATCAAAACCTTGAAAAAGAAGAGCATCAATGACTCAAGATGTAACCAGAAATGGCATGTGGATGATTGACTGATACTGGAACTTTGAGTTTTGTGTAGGTCATGTTCCAAAGCTGACCCCATAAATGGACCACAAATCCTGGAGTTTTGTGTACCATATCCTCTTTTACAATGTCTTACATCTCATACACTCAAAATTATGTGTATTATTAATCATTATATCATAATAATCGGTTAATATAACCAGTGTTTGTTATAATTAAC